ACCATGTCCAGTTTATGCAGTGCTGGGGATCAAACCCAGGATTTGGTGCATCCTAGGCAAGCACTCTACCACCTGAGCCACATCTTCAGCCCACTGCTGGTTTTCTTCTCTATCACCACCTTACGATATCACCTTAATCTACAGGAAACTTAAGGCCAAATAGGAGAAACTAAACATCTGCTTCTAACATATGATGATTAGTGATTATTTGGGACAATTGTTTTCAGATCCTGAATTGTGTTCAGATCCCTTATGCTGTGTCTGTGCGCTCTCAGAGCACAAACTGTGCAGGGATCACATAGTGGGTTATAGGCAATGTCACGGGTTTTAATATGATCTGATTTTGAGTAAAGCAGAGAACCATGGACTTCAAAATGCTGTGAAAGTCAGACCCCTGCAGGATATGACTGAGTATATCAGGGACTGAGTCAGCTACAGCCAGACATCCATGTACCCATTACAATGGGACTGGTAGAGGAAAGTTGTCCAGTGCTGGCCCCAGAAGATCTGCATGGTTCCAAACCCATGCATCACTGGCTGCCTTTGTAGCTCACAGTGGCTGTGGAAGCTCTACCTGAAGGCATCTAAGGCAGCAGGCCCATGTTCCCACAGCCTTTTATACAGATGGAGAACCATCCCATCACATGTTGGCCTCAGAGCAGAGAATGCCTGGCACTCTGAAAGACACAGGAGGCATAGGCATTCTGTCACCTGCATGGTTCCTTACTGGATATTAATCTTGTGATCCATCAGTATCCCTAGAACCTAACTAAGGCATATGTAATCACCGCTCTACAAACTCCTCTGGTCTCACCTCTAAGGATGACCTGGGTGTGTACCTTGAACAGCATAGGAGGGCATTTCAGGGTCACATAGAGTGAAGTGTGGCAGCAGGACTAAACGTAGTGTGCTGCTGGGTGATGATGCACCAAGCAAAGGTAAAAAAAATGCATCAAACCCTCCCTGTGCCAGGCAGGGCCCTGGGTGTGTAGGATACACCTGTGGCCTCTGCCTGCCTGGTACTAAGAACAAGTCAAAGAGAAAACAGTAGGTACTGCCTGAGCTGCAGAGAATGCCTGAGTAGGTTGAGACTGCCTTGTCAGAGATGATGAAAATTTATAGTGGCAGAGGGCCTGATAAAAAGTGGCAGCGTTTGAGGAGAAGCTCCTAATGAGATGAAGAAATCAGCCGTGTGTTTATGTAGGCAGGGGTAAACCACATGGCATGTTGGAGGAACTGCAGAGAGCTCTTATAGGTGGAAGAGAAGAAGGTCAGAGTTCACAGAGGTCAAATCCTACAAGATAACAGAGCTTACTAGGACTTTTCAAGAGGCCTGTGCTGTCCAGTGTGACAGACATTGAACACTATGGTTTCTGAGCACTGAAATGTATGGTGAGACCAATAAACCAGCTGTTGGTTGCATTTAATTCCATGTGATTAGGCTTGCGCAGGTCTGTGTGGCCAGTGGCTGCTGACTCAGTACAAATAAATGCACTCATCTCAAAGTGCATCCCTAAAACACACTGTGACATGCCTATACAGAGGGCCAGGAAGAAGGAGGATGTCTCCAGGTCCCCAGGCTGCTGCTGGCCCCGTGAAGGGAGACCAGGTGACATGGCTGAGCTCAACTCCCCACCCTCTTGTCAGAAACAGCCAGATGCAGAAAGTGTGGAACTCGGTGGTGGGCAGCACACAGGGCCTGGGCCTGGCCTTTTGCTACTTGATAGTGAAGAAAACGATGTGGGGATTGAGACCCATCATCCCTCTAGGTGGGGCCCCTCCTGGGAGCGCCCAACCAGCAGGCTCTGCCTTGCTTCCTGCAGGAGCTGAGCCCACAAGGGAGCTTGAATTCTGAACTTTGGTAGAGTACTTCCCATCTGTTGCAGATGTTCCTAGCCAGTGAACTGGGAAGGGGATTTTCCGGAGAGCTGGCATGCATGCTGAGTCTGTTCTGTGTGGGTGGTATGTATTTCCACTACTTGGCTGGTATGTATCTGTACAGTATCTCCTGAGCCCACAGCATCACCTCTCTTCCCTGTTCAGTGCCTTGATGCCCAATGCCCACTTAAACCCAGGACACCCCTGCAGATGGAAGAGTGTAGGAAGGATTACAAACCAGGGTGTTCTTATCTTTTCTGAAATTTTTCTTGAGTTTTGAAAAATCCATTTTAATCAAACTTGATTAATTATTTTGTTGTCATGCAAGAATAAATTTGTAGCTTCAGTATGTGGTTCAATTACGTTTCTAAGTAAAAATCCGAGACCTATTTGGTAAGTGTCCAGAAACCTATTTCTTTGTTGCTTGTGGGTGGTGGTGAAATCTCAGGCACCTTCACTCCTAGGCACCTTCACTCCTTCAGGCAGCAGGTCCAAGCCTTGAGTGTCTGGGGAAATCTCAGTGACCTTCTGTTGCCACTGCCCCACCCCACACTGCCAGCATGAACCACACCAAACAAGAAGCAGAGTCATCGAAGTCCCTGGTGGCCGAGAAGGAACACATAGGAGTAGGCGAGATGAAGCCGTTTGGCGTGCGGCTGGTCACGTGTTCAAACTCAGCAGAGACCTAGAATAAGTAGTGGGGGCACTGTGGTCCAAGACTGGCAGCCTGGAGCTGGATAGTGCTATCGTGTGGCAAGGATGCCAGCATCTCCCAGCCTCAGGTTTGTCCTGTGTAAAATGGAAACGACTACAAAAATCACAGTCATTTCCAGAGTTGTTGTGAAAATGAAGTGACTTAAAGAGCGTAAAACTATTTGTAAAGAAAAATCAAAACCAAAATGCTTAAAAGCAAAGCTCTAAACAGCATGGATTTATTGCCCGTGTACCAGGACCTCTACCCACATCAGGGCAGCCTTGACCTGCAAGCCAAGATCTGAGTACAGAAGGGGCCCTTTGCTCTCTGAGCATGGTCTTTAGACCCTGATGGGTTTTTCACAGACTCGCCTCTCCTGTTTCACCATTTCCTGTAGAGGTGACTCTTCTGCAGGGCATCTCAACAGTGCTCAATGCCATCACCAGTTTTTAGGAAGATGTCTAGAAAACCTAGAGGTAACAGCCTGTGTGTGATGAGGCACCTCAGGAAGACCTTCAGATTCAGCTCAGCACGCCCTTTATCCCAATGGATGATTCCTTGCTGTGTAAAGGCTGAGATATGTCTCCCCCTGGGCAGTACAGTCCTAGAATCTTCCATGAATTATGCATTCCTGTGAACTGTTTCCATTTCCATCTCTGATAGCTATAATGATGGTAATTTTCATTTTCCTTTACTGTTCTGGAGACCATATGGGAGATTGTAGAGTAAAAAGAATTGAAATTTCACAAAAGTTGCTTTGTGGAGGGTATGCTGTACAGTTCCAGATACATAGAGGGGACACTGTACTAGGAGGCAGGGTTTGACACCTGGGCAGAGAGTGACAGTCCCCAGGAGGACAGAGATATGAGCTGGAGCTGGCCTCATGGCCTCCAGCAGTCACTTCTGTGGAGTGAAATAGTGGACCCCTCACCCTCAGTTGTATCTGTGTGCAGTGGGGAAGACCGGCCCTGTGTGGATGGTGGGTTTCCAGCTTCTATTGCTGGGCCACCTGGGGAAGTCTTTGTTATTTGAGGGAGCCCAACATTTTTTTCTCTATTGTCTGTACAGAAACAAAGTCCTCATATTGAGTTCCTGACCCCTCAGTGCAGGGTCACACTCTCTGGTGGCTAGGGGCCCCAGAAGTTCTGTGTTCTCAATTTGCAAAAATATGAATGGCATCATTTTATTCGGAGTCCACTTGACATCTGTTTATGGGTGGCCCTGGGCTGTGCAAGGAGGAAGTAGACTGGTGAAGTTGGTGTTAAGTGGGAATCATGCCACATCCAAGCTCTACAGTACCTGCTGTAGCATCTCCATCCTGTCTCAGGGGCCTCCTGTGGTCACTGATAAAGGGAATCAGGATGATGATGGACCAATCCTTCTGCAAGAAGAGATGCTCTGTTACTTTTTGCTTTAGAAGCAATGTCTAGAGTAAGCCAGGGCTTCATTTTCACATGAAATAAACAGTTGGAAAGAGTGACCTTGATTCTGGATGAGTCAGCACAAAGGGAGTATTATTTTGTTGAGAAAGAATTCATAGGAGCAGCCAGCCTGCAGTGTAAGCAGGGAGCAGACAAGCATAATCCCCCTGCAGAACCCTAGCAGCTCAACATCTGGGACATAAGCATCCACAAGCCCTCAGAGGTGTCCAGGCAGTGGTTCTCATGCTGATGGGTTTTAGAATCATCCTAGCTGCTGTCCCCAGTCTGCACACCAAACAACCTGCATCAGAATCCCCAAGAGAGTCTCAATAGAGTCTCTTTGAGAGCCCCATCCGTCACTGCATCACAGTGCAGAGAGAGAGAGCTACGTCTACAGGCAGCTGTTCCTGGAGCAGCTGCCAGGTCCGCCACGAGGAAGGCTGTACATCTGGGTGTCTCAGACCAAAATCAAGGGAAACTTGAAGGGGAGACTCAGGGACATCATCCTCCCTCCATCCCCACTAGCCCTGCCATGTTCACGCAGGGCATGCTTCCTGAATGTCCCCAATGGCACCACCTGATACGTTTATCCCCATTACCCCAGCACCAGGAAACCAGAGACTTTGAAATACAACGTTCCTCAATGCAACCCACTATAATTCTAAGACTTGCTGAGTTATAATGCATTTATTACTTGGAGAAACCCATGATAAATAAAAAGAATTTTAAGTTGAACCACGGTGAGCCAAGGTTGTAAGTTGACTCATGGTGAGCTGAGGACCCTCTGTACTACAATTGCTTTTTGTAATATTTTGCCTAGAGACACTCTCCTTTGAGGATGCACACATAGGCAATCCTGGTAACCATATTTACAGGCAATCATTCATGGTGATGGAAACTTCAGCAGTAGCAAGTACTAAGGCAGTCAGGAAGGGCTGGCTCCAGCCCAATAGTCTTTCAGTGACTCTTACTAACCTTCTTTCCCGTCCTTCCCACCATCTCTGCAGAGTGACTACTCCAGCGACACAGAGAGTGAGGACAACTTCCTCATGATGCCGCCACGGGACCACCTGGGGCTCAGTGTCTTCTCCATGCTCTGCTGCTTCTGGCCTTTGGGTATCGCGGCCTTCTACTTGTCCCATGAGGTAAGGCCTCTATCAGCTGGTCACATACAACTTCTTGGTGGTAGTCACATAGGCAAACCTCAGCCAAGGTTAACCAAGGATAGTCAAGGAAGCTCAGCCAGTATCTGTTATGAAGGGTGTCAGCATGCAAGAAGCTGGGGTACCCAAGGGTGCCAGGCAGGGTTGTTAGGCTGCCTCACTTTATGGTGACCCAGCTTTGTTCTTTCAAAAGTGAGACTGCCTTCAGGAAGACACCTGATGACCAAAGCAGACATACACCTGCAGAGGGCAGATGGTCTTTGGAGGCCTGACCATCATGTAAGCCCTTGGTGGCACTGATAGAGAAGTTCCTGGGCTAGGTCAGGGACACCATAGAGAACAGCAAACCTAGTCAGAAATGGAAAAAATGAGGTTTTGTTTTTCTTGCCAAAGGTTCATTCCTATCAAATATCTATATAACAGAGCCTGATTTCCCAGGAGCCCATGTGGACCCATATCCAGTAGGAAACCCTGGATGATACCGATTCCCAGCCCATCTTACTACACAGTATCCTCTTGGAACCCAGGTTTTGCAAGAGTTTTTCTCTAGCAAAGGAAGAATCAGCTTTCATATTCTTACTCGTCAAAAAAGGGCATTTATCTGAACCAATTAAAGCATGAAACTACAGTCAGCACTGCCCACTGCTATCATCCCTCCCAGAACAGAGAAAAAGGTAGCCCCATGTTGCGCAGAGTAAGAGTGGATCCAGTGCACCTCAGGGGTCTCCAGGTGGTGGATGATCCCTGGGGAGTCTGGGATACCCCCTGTCGGCTTCCGGCATTCCGAGACTGAGGCTGCAAACAGCTAAGTCCCATGCTTGATAGAGCTCTTTCTCTTAGCTTGAACATGGCTTTCCCGCCTGAGCCAGAAAGAAGTTACCACTTCTTGCTGGCTTCTGAATGATGGTGTTTGGAACTGGTGAGGGGGAAAATCCTTGTGCAGTTTTCTTTGTGCCATCTGCATGTCTCCGGTGATAACCAATTGCCCCTTTCCTGACATCCATCCAAAGGGGAGCCGTGGCGCTCCTGAGGGCAGCTGCTGCTTTGCAAGGACAGAGAGGTGGAGAACTGCTTCAAAGTGCAGAGTGTGTGGGGAAGGGGAGGGGAGCCAGACAAAGCAGGTGAGGCAGGGCGCAGCTCCCGCTCTGTGTGGTTCTGTGTTCATGGTTCTGGAAGATTATGCACTGATGTGGAGGATGCTGCACTATGGGGTCCTGCAGAGCAGTGATTCTAGGGCCAGCCTGCTCCAGGAAGGTCTGTCTACATTAGACATCTCTTTTGTGAATGTCCTCCATGAACTCCACAGACCCTGGTCTCTAACAGAAACACAGGTGCAAACCAGATTCCTGAGCCTGGCGTGGTCTAGGCAGCTTTGGGTGGAGGTGAGTTCACATGACCCTGGTCTACAGGGTGAGACCACAGGCACTATGCCTACTGCAGATGGGCATGCATGAGGATTTGGAGAAAGGCCTGTGTATAGTCAGATACCCATTTTGAGTGCAGCCTGCTCCCGCCTGTGTAAGCTGTATCTTGAGCTTAGTTTAGACAGTCTCACTAGGAAAGGAGAGGTCAGGACAATGAAGAGAAAGAGCCAGGGCTTCATCCAGTATGGACATTTTGGGTGTGTCCCACGAGCTGAATGTCACAGGCACTATGCCTACTGCAGATGGGCATGCATGAGGATTTGGAGAAAGGCCTGTGTATAGTCAGATACCCATTTTGAGTGCAGCCTGCTCCCGCCTGTGTAAGCTGTATCTTGAGCTTAGTTTAGACAGTCTCACTAGGAAAGGAGAGGTCAGGACAATGAAGAGAAAAGAGCCAGGGCTTCATCCAGTATGGACATTTTGGGTGTGTCCCACGAGCTGAATGTGTTATCAACTGTATTCAGAGGTCCCCTCCTGAACCCCTCATCTGTGTCACCCCAGAATGAGGAAGTTGGGGTCACACTAAGCGTACTGCAACACATGCTAAACCAAGTTTGGGAATGAGGTTTGTGCTTTCATTGTACAGTTCAGTGGGGGAGATGAGAGTAGACAGGGTGTAGACATTCAACAGGGTACTGAGCAGTGGGAGTCCTAAATAAATGGTATGGGGTAGGGAATGGTAGCCTGTGTGCCTGCACCAAAGGCCAGCCTTTGTCAAGCCTGCTAACAATCCCAGGCTCCCATGGTCTCTGCTGCTTCAGATGTCCTGGGGTGAAACCCCTCTCAGAGCAGGGCACGCTGCACACAGCACCTTTACCCTGAAGATGTTACCGAGACACTGTTCAGGCTCTTGTTCACAGAAATTAATCTTATTATTCACACAGTAAGATCCTGTTAGACTTGTGTATCTTGATTTATGGTGTTTGATACTTCTGGTAGTCAAGGTAATTTTTATTGTTCACCAGAAAGTATTCAGTGTCGCTTCTGCGCCAGCTTTTGGTGACACTTTTTGGAGTTGAGTCTCAAATGCTTACAGAGAGTAAGGGTGGCCTGCGCTGCTGGAGGAGGAAGAGGTGCTCCTAGCTCTGTGGCCCCAGTCTCCCTTTGCACTGTGCTTAGAGAATGGGTTCCCTGCAATGGAACTCAGTGCTGTGCTAATGTTTTCATAAAGAATTCTCTGGATGTAGTCCCCTTTGCAGGGCCTGTGTCCAAGTCCTCTCCAGATGGGGGCTTCCACACTGCAACACTTCCCAGAGCTTCAGCCCAGCCAAGAGGCTGCTGTACATTCTGCTTATGCCTCTGCAACCTAAACTGCAGGCACGAAATCTCCAGGCCATTCGAGGGGAGCCAGCAGCTGCCAAGGGGAAAGTTTGCAGCAAGAAATAGCACAGACACACTCAGACTCATGCTCTAAATTGAATCAGTGCTGGCCTGAACATGGACAGCTGGGACTTCTAATACTGAGGCCTGGAGGGAGAAGCCCAGAACCTTCTGTGGAGGTTCTTTTCAGCTGCTGCCAAGACCCCAGGGCACTCAGCTGTGGCTCCACAGAGGAGTAAGAGCCCAGCAAAGTGCTGTTCTCAAGGCTGTAATGATACTCACTGGAAATCTTTGACATCCACGTGTGACTTTAGGGTGTCTTTCTGTTCTCATAGATCCAGTATCAGTGTACTCAGTAGTGTGTAGTTGTGCCTGTTGTCAAAGCAATTCTCTGTGAGGTTGAAGAAGGCTATTCTGGGAAAGCAAACCATGGTGGTTTGAGGAAATCAGAGTTGGAAGCAATCAGCCCTGAGCTTATAAACCTGTGGGATTTGTCTGTTGGTTTGTTTGGTCCTCTTCTAAGCAGGTTATGATCTATAGGCAACTCCCCCAATGCCATTCCTTCATCCACAGCACAGAGTTAAAATAATTCCCACACTCAAGATTCTGAGGGGAAGCTAGGACAGTGAGCAGCCTGGTGCTCTCTGGATACCTCAGTTGTCCAATCACTATGTATCTACAGGCTAGGAGTCCTGGAAGGAGGCAGATGCAGAAATTCTAAAAGCTGTTCATATGGTCAAAGTAATGGGTTCTGGCAGCAGAGCTGGGGCAGCGCTGCTGAACACGCGCTGTGTGCCAGTAACCGTGCCACACACTGTACCCCCAGCAAAGCCCTGGGCCCAAAAAAGCAGCATCCTTCAGGACCAGAATCCTTCAGGAAGGCACATTGCCTCTCCAGTACAGACCTGCTTCTCTGGAGTTGGGCCTGGGAACCTGCATTTTAGCATGCCTACGGGCTGATTCTTCCAGCACTCTACCTGAATACTGCTGTCCTACCTGAGTGACCTCATAGGAACTGAGGTCATGTACACTCTGCAGGGGTTGTGATGGGGCTCAGGGAGATGAAATGCAGTGCCTAAGACCAGAGCTGCTTAGTAGCAGACCGGGTTCTAGGCCCGATATCCTGACAGGAAAGCCTGCTGTGCATCATTGTGCCCAGAGTTGTGACAAAGGACTCCATGAGGAGGCAGAGTGAGGGCTGGTAAGTGGAGCTTGCTGCCCACTTTATTTTGATGATTTTCTCTGGTCCTTGATGTAAGCCAGTTCTGTAAACCAAAGGAAGGTATGGATGTGCACAGATGAAATTAGAACTGATGTTTCTGAATAATGCTGTGGGTAGAGATAAACCCACAATTTGCTGAGTAGCTTCTGTAAGCCAGTTAATGTCCACACTTTACCTTCTTTAATCTCTCCAGTGAGTCTAAAATGTGAAAAAAAATTAATATCTCCATTGAAATGAAAAGAATGAAGCTTCCAGGATTAAACAACTTAAAAAACTCATAGAAGTAGTGAGTGTGGGGTACATGAGGCAGATGACAGTACCTCTATCCTTTAAGATCAAATCTGCTGCGGTATAACTCTTTATCTGTGTGCAAACAAAACTGGGATCACAGGACTTCCTCCTCAACCCACTGCCCCACAAGCCACTTGGAGAATGTGAGGCAGAAGGAGGGAGGCTAGGAGAAACACACTGGTGTTTGTCCTTGTGGCCCTGCACTCCTTCCTGTGGGGCAGATGGTGACCTGGAACTGCAGCTGGGCACCCTCCCCAAGGGCCTTGGGTCTGGTTCTGCACCACAGGCCTGGGCATTGCATGCAGGAGGTGCCTAGCAGAGTTTTCTCATTGAAACATTTATTATGCCTTGATTTCATTTCATTTCATAAAATGTTTCTTTCCTTTACTAACTGCAGTATTATAGCAATAATTAAATGGGAAAAGGGTACTCAGAACCAAATTATGAATGTTATGAATAGCTCCAGCAAAGGGAACTATGGACAATGAGGGGAAAGGGAACCTTGTTACATCATTGAAAAATCTACAGAAACAGAGTCTAGCTGAGGCGCTCATCTCATCCTTGAAATCCACCCACCCACACACCCGTGTTTACTAACACACAGGATATGTAGCCCTGAGCCAGGTACCCAGCATGTATCAGTGAACCAGACAGGCCAAACTCCACCTTCTACAAGAATAAAATCACAGGAGGGCCAAAGTGTAAAAGAATAAAGATCACATTGG